TGTACTAACAAATGTGGCGGCGATTCATATCGTTTCGTAGAGCACACGCCTGTCTTCTGAATGATTACAGTGTTATGCAAATCATTGAACGTTAGAGGAGAAGTTTCCATTTGAAGAAAACGATACTACTTATCGGGCAACCTAATGTGAACGGAGTTACTGGGATCCTTCGCCAGCATAGAGTGTTCCACTTTGCATCCGAGCTCGAATGAGTGGCGTCGCAAAAGGCACACATCTGGCATGGACGGTAAGACGCAGAATTGGTTAGGTCGTGAGTTCAATTCATTACTGCGAACAAGATCTGCTTTTTATCTGTAGTTCTTGCATGGGTGTAGAAAGTGTTTCTAATCAGTCGTTTCTTTCCTTCCACCACTGTTTGACGCTATGAATAAACAAATGGAGGGGAAAGCACAACAATGATAATTTCCAAAATGTTCTGCTTCCAATACCATTCAGATGCAAAACAAGAACATGCACAGACAGGTACAATCCTCACTTCACGAGCATACATACAGGGGTGGCCAAAAAAAAGAGACACTTCACTCCACATTTCAGACAGCATTAATCACACTTTGCTAGAATCAAATCGACTGCCCCAACTTAGTATTGAAGAGCACATTCTAATCTATCTAAAAGTTACATGACAGCCTTCTACACCGACGACATCAGAAGATTTTCCCACGGAAACATGGTTCACGGTACGAGCTCAACGAGGTCGTCGAGGTACCATAGACCATTACGACGTCCCTGAAACGCTGGTCAAAAGCGGTCTTGCACAGTCACAGCTAGTGTCTCTAGAAGCTATTCACCAGTTAATCCATTGAAGAAATTATGTAGCAGCTTCAGGCCGGAGCGATTACGGTAAGCCTCGTTGAGCTCGACGGTGACGGCAGATGACGTCATATTCTGAAGACGGTGGGGCAGTGAAGGAGGGCCTGCTTCTGCTTACGGGGAACATAAGGAATATTCCGCCGTAAAACTTTCATTAACATCGGCTCCCTGTGCGACGAAAAGTTCGATGATGTGCGCCATGGGCAAAGTGTCTCTTTTTTTTGGCCACCCCTGTATATGGTGCTCTAATACGAAATCACAAGAACAACATGTCGCAGTGAGGCCTTCAAATCCTCACACCCCATCTAATCACCATTCAGATGGGAGGTGGTGTATACTACAAGACATATTTCGCTGCGTACTAGATCACGACAATAATTTCTACTTGTGGACGAACTATATAAAAAACACACGCTTATATAGCAGAAGATTCTTGGATGAGTGGATAAGGCCCGGCGTTGACCAATCCCTTTTTGAGATGCGCCACGCATTCCACTTCCATTCAAAATCGTAACGGCATTTCAAAGGAGATTTGTATTCTACAATAACGTTGAAGGGCCAGCCTGTGAACGAATCAGTGCTTCAATCCTCCCAGATGGGTGTGTTATCAAATAAGCGACACCGGCGTGGTGAGAGGCTTGGTTGGCTAACCAGGAAAGGTCATTTGGTCAACCCGGCCAATTCAAATGAGATGCATATGCCTATACGCGCCTTGGAACG